GGACATGAAATTCAGAAGCTTGAGGCCATTCCTTGTAAAAACAAATATAAAAAAAAAAAGTAATAAATAATTTAAAAGTGGCAGCAATAGGTCCCTAGCTCACATTAACTCCTTTCACTTGTTGAGGATCATTGCCCTACCATGCTGCAGCTGTTGGTACCAGCTACAAGTTACAAGTCCTGCTTGCATCAATACTGGAGCTGGGTAAGCATTTTTGCCCCTGAACTATTCACATTAAACTTTATTCTTTTAAGGGAATTATGTCCACTTTATTGGAAACACGTCAGCAGCCCCTAGCTGCTGGGGGTACTGCCTTCACAACTGTAGTACCCTCTCTTCTCCCCAAATTGACAAGACTGTTCAAAATAGTAAGGAAAAAGATGCATTATCCTGGAGGGGGTGAGGAGAGGGACAAGAGGGAAATATAATCCATGGTACTGGAGTGATTAATGTGACTGTTTATGATGAAGGAAATGAAAACTAGAAATCTGGGTAAGTAATGATCTTTCCACGAGAATGACTTTCACTGAAACCACAATACAAACTCATATGCTGACCTCCTTTAAATTATTGCTGAAGTTTTCAAAGCAAAGCAGGGATGGCAGTGAAAATTCTGCTCCCTTGGTGATTCCCAGGAGCACAGAATTTCTAGTGAATTTCTAGTGATAGCAGGAGAGGGGTTCACTGGGAGATGCAGAGATGCACGCATGCCATCACCTCTCGTTAAAATGTGAGATGCTTCAGTGATAGCTTTGAGTAAAAGGGCTTAAGAGGCACATTTAGCACTGTCCATTAAGCATGGTGAGCTGGAGAAAGGCTTCCCCAGCATACATCATCTCACCCATTGATATGCAGGCCGAGTGTGCTCAGTGGGAGGAACAAGACTAACAGTATTTTTGATGAAGGTAAGAGCCTAATATTGCAGCTTTGGACAGATCAGTTATCCATCTGCCAGCCATCTATCTTTGGCTATGGTACTTACCTGGCCTCAGTTATTACAGTATGTAACCGCTTCACAACCACTAATATATTTATCTTCTCGTCCTCCCCGTGGAGCTGGGAAGTGCTGTTACCTCTGTTGCAGAACTAAGAACTGAGATTAAGGGTCAGATTTGTTATGGCATTTAGGTGCTCAATGGGATTTTCAAAAGTACCTAACACCCGTTGTAATAAGTGGAACCTGGGAACTTTGATAGTTCTGAAAATCCTATAATTTGTGTCTTTTCTTTTAAAATTTTGGGCTTACATGACACCTTGGGATCTGTAGCAGAGGTGTCCATGTTGTGGGTAATCACCCAGACAGAAGACTGTCTTTTCATCCACCTAGTAGGAGACTGTAGGTGGGACAGGAGCAATTTTATGGCAGTATTTTATTTCCGTCCTGAATTTAGCAAGCTGTAACTCTGTGCAGAGCGGTGAATTTACCCTCCTTGCCCAGGGCTGTGAGAGAGGTCAGAAGCTGGTCCTGGAAATACTGGAGCAAAAATAAGCAGCACCCATGGTCAATAAAAGGGCTTATGTGCCAATTGCTGGGATGGAAAATTCAAGAGCAGGAGCAAATAATGAAACAATCTATATTCATGCAGCCACCTTTCCAGCCTACTGCTGTAAGTACGGGCTTACACCTAACCGGGAGATGTGAATCCTACTGAAAGCTCCAGAGTATCACACTGGAAAACAAATGTTGATTTTGAACAAATTATCTGTTCATCGCTAAATCATTTTCTTTCATTATTAGTCTCCAAATTGGTTCTGCTCTGGAAGACAGAATTAGGTCTAAAAGCAGAGTGTCTCTTAAACACTTGCTTCAAATGAAAGTATTCGGTAAACATTACTCAAACCCCCTAGAGCATAAACTCCTCAACTGCTTTCTCTGGCTTTGCATAGATTTTTCAGCTCCTGGTTTAAAGACAGGTGTCTCAGGGATTCATTCAGGATATCAGAAAGTAACCAAATTAAATCCTTTACAATCATATGCCCCTCAGACGGTAAGGAAAATTGTATTAAGACCTTTCTGTACTCGTTTACAGTAGCATAAACTGGGACAAAAGTCCTATGCAAACAGATGGAGTTACACCAATATCGAACATGTAAGAGAGAGAGGAGTCGGACTCCAAGTACAAAACCATGTGGGCTGCAAGCCCAAGTTTCTAGTCATTGGAAGAGCTGCACTTTGCTGTTATAGTGCTTGCACCCATTTCCATAGTTTTAAGGTTCTAAAAAAAAATCCTGGGCTTCAAAATGATGTTTTTAATATTAAAGGGACGGGGTTTGATTAATTCAGCATCTCAGGGAGATTGCAGCTGTGTGAGCTAGTGATGTAGGATGACAGAGTAGGGGTCAGCTCAGCTAACTTACAAAAACACAGGTGGTGCTGCAGGGAGTGGGGTGGGTTATGAAGCAACAGAAAAGCCCCAGTGCTCTGTACTTGTCCCACTTGACACCATGGACTATCAGGAGGTGCTTGAGAGGGTCATTTGTGTCTCCATGAGGCAAGACGCTCTGTAAGGTTTAGGATGTGTCTAATTGCATGGGTTTTCATTAGTGTTTGTAAGATGCTGTTATTCTGCCTGTAGGTTTTCATTGGGTGGAGGAGGGAGGACAATTTAGTCACTTTGTTAGATATGGAATGAGAATAAAACTTTGGGACGATGTTATCTAGTGGACACCCAGGTACTTGGTAGCTTGTTCAAAGCATGAATTTAACTCAGTTTGATGTTACAGGGACCTGTTTGCACAGGGGAAGATGCAGGAGGAGAAGGTCCTTCTTGATCCTTCCCATCATGGGGAGACATTCTCCGATTTCCCAGCTCTCTGCACTCCCCAGTAAAGCACTGGTATGGGACTGGGAGGCTGCTCCGGTACAGGGCAGGAATCGAGAGCTGCTGCTGCTGCAAATGACTGCATTTGCACTGTGGTGTCTGAACACTGTTTTGCACTTAAAAGATTTATTTCTCAGTGGGCAGAAGAGTTACAAGATTAACAGATGAACAAATATATTGAGACAGCCAAGACATCAAAGAAATGGAAGAGTCACTAGGATGTCGGGGAGCTGAGGAGTCACCTGGCCATGGTTCTTAGGAATTATTTTATCCTCAGATTAGCTCAGCTGTCTTGGGGTTTGGACACATCCTCTGGTGAATTTAGCTACAGTGGCTTAAGACATTACTGGTCTCAGCTCTCTGCTTCTCCTCCGGAGGATCCTGCCTTTGGAGCAGATGCAGCAGGAGGGAATGTGTGCCTGCTTCCCAGCCACGGCAGCTCAGATCCTGGGGGTTTAGTGCAAGCACAGCATCCTTCATTTTTTGGGGTAGATACCAGCTTGTGAGCTGCACCACCAAGGATGAGAGTGTCCTATATCCCTGGGCAGAAATCTCCAGGGAGAATGTGGGGCAGACAGCGTGTTAAGCCACCGTAATGAAAGCCACCAGAGTGCATGGGCCAGAGCCCAAGGCGCTGTCTGTGGTTATTTCTACCATAAAGAAATTCTAACAGATATTGGGAAGTCAGCTATTGCAATTGGAAGGTCAGAGGGAATCGTATCCCAGGTAGCGCTATTTAATGTCAATCATTCTTTGCAAGCTTTTTCTCCTCCATGCACTCTGCAATTCGATCAGGAAGAAAAGAAAAAAGTGAGTAGCAGCAGTCTTAACCTTCGGTTCCTCGTACAGGAACCAGCCACGGGGTGATACCAGTGGAGGGATCAGAAGAAGGTTTATGTAAGATGTACCTTCCATGCAGAGAACAAACAAAAAGCAGCTCAGGAAGGTTGTGCAGAGGCTGCTAAGCATGAGACCGTGCTCACTCCTGGGGCTGCCTATGTCTCAGTTCTTCCCTGAAATTTAGATTTAGTTGAGTCAGCCAGGAAATTACGGGTGAGTTTGGGGTCTTGGGGGAAAGGTGTTCAAAAAGCAGCAATATGAAGACACCAACAAGAGGGAAAGTCATAACTTGAAAAGTGCCACACAGAGGGAACCGTGCCTTTTGCTTTATTGAGCTGTTGGCTGCAATAAATACGGCTGAATTCCCTCAGTCTCCTGTAACGTCCCAGTACAGCAGGAGTCCATTTAAGAATACGCTTTGCTTACACAAATGATTATATATGAAGAGCAGAGCAACAGCTGATGTGCCACTGCAGTAATGCAAGCACATCCTAAAAGCTGCCTGAGGAGGCTGGGTGGTTGTGTCCTGCCCTTGTGCTTTGGTTTTGTCAGCACTGCCTGCCCAAAGCTGCCAAAGCAGAGGAGGTTCTGTTCTACCTCCCCTGCCTGCGTCTAGATTTTGGGATGGTACAGTAAACACATGGTGATAAAATCAACTAAGAGGGTATTCCCAAAGAGGAATATCCCTCCCAAAGAGGGAGAATGGCTTTTTATTGTCATTTTCAATATAGAAAGCTATAAGACACTGCATTATAAAGAAAAGACAAGTATAACACAAGACCTATGAATGGGTAACCAGCAAGGAAAACTGAACCTTGTTCTTCTACGTCGTAGAGCATTAACCCCACTTGCCTGAACTAAAAGGTTTGGTTGTGTTAGGTAGTGCTGTAACAGGGTTGCCACATCCCTGTATGGTGTATTCATGGTTAGGAGGGGTTGAAGCACTCGCAGGCTGTGAGCAGTGGAAGGTGAGTGTAGGAGTGGAGACCAGGAATTTGGGGGTCTTCGGCCTTTCTTTTTTTTAACTTATTTCCTTATGCCTTTCCAAACCCTCACATCTTGCATATGAGCAAGTTGAGCATGGAGGAAGCTCCTGCCCCTTGCATCCTGTCCCAGCATTTGCAGCATAGCAAAGTTGATGTGAAATGTTAGCGGATTGCATTTGTGATGTGTTTTACTACACTGTGCATGGATGCTTTCCCCTGGCTAAACCAGATCTGAGCCTTGGCAGGCCCAAAGGTGCTGTGCGAGGGGCAGTCAGCCCGTGCAAGGCGACAGCCTGAGATTAGGTGTGAATATTCAACCCACCGGGCTGTGTAACTCCCCTCTCTGTTACAGACTGGAGTCGCCTACACGCGCGCTGGTGATGGAGGCTCCAAAAGGCATCGAGATCAACGCCGAGGCGGGCAGCTTGAAAGCCACGTGCAGGACAGAGCTCAGGCTGGAATCCAAAGACGGAGAGGTAAGAGAAGGATGTCACACCCTGCAGCACAAACAAACCACGGCACAGATCCCCTGCGGATCCGTAGCCTTCGGAGTTACCAAACCACTCCATTTGGAACACTGGTGTGAAGGCACTGGTGAAGCAGGCCTTCCTAGCCTAGTTTCTGCTAGCAGTGATTGAACACATCATATGCAAACGAGCCTCACTCCGTGGCAAAGGCTGATTCATTATTTTTAAAGTGCCTGGATAATAGCATCTGTTGTTCAGGCAGATTTATGCAGCTGTAAAATACACAGTGCTCCTAAATTCTTTGTTTCCTTGTCACTTTAAAACAAGATTTACTTGGCCACCATAATTAAATCTTTTATCATACATTTTTCTATAAGAAGAGCTTAATTCACCATTATTGATCTGAAAAGCTTTTGTAGCTGATGTTTTCATTTTGGAAAGAAAGGGAACATTAGGAGACACAGGTTGTTACAGTGGGGAAACTTCCAAAGAGGAAGAGAAACTAAAACTGATAACACAGAACCAAAGTAAAATAGGTATTGGGTTAAGCCTCTCCTGGTGTCTCAAAAATACATGCGAGGGGCATCCCATGGCTCCCATCCTGTCCCCTCCACCCGCCACAATCATGGAGGACACCGAAGGAGGAACCCACCAAGAGCCTTGGCAGGAGGAGCTTCACATTGAACGCAAACCCCCTAGCAACAGGGCTCCAACATAAGCTAACATTTTCCTATCTTAGTATCAGGTGTCATAAATAGAATGGAATTTTTATTGCAATTCCTGTTATTTCTAAACATTTGAATTTTAAGACATTCCAAACCCAGACCAGGGGTGTTAACAACCCCCCCCCAAAAATACAAAAAAAGTCCCTACCTAATGTACTACAGTTGAAATCCAAGGCATTTCGCTACTGCAAGCAGTTGACTTAATGTTTTTCACACTGATTTGCTTTTAAAATGCATATATATTGACCTATGTCTTTCAGGAGATTAGATGGTTTGATAGTAAAATGGGAGACTCTCACTGTAATTGCAAGATCAGAGCAAATACTGTCAGTTGCCCTGTAATATTCTGGTGTGCAGGTTATCTTACTCGTTTTCCTATCTTAGTATCAGGTGTCATAAATAGAATGGAATTTTTATTGCAATTCCTGTTATTTCTAAACATTTGAATTTTAAGACATTCCAAACCCAGACCAGGGGTGTTAACAACCCCCCCCCAAAAATACAAAAAAAGTCCCTACCTAATGTACTACAGTTGAAATCCAAGGCATTTCGCTACTGCAAGCAGTTGACTTAATGTTTTTCACACTGATTTGCTTTTAAAATGCATATATATTGACCTATGTCTTTCAGGAGATTAGATGGTTTGATAGTAAAATGGGAGACTCTCACTGTAATTGCAAGATCAGAGCAAATACTGTCAGTTGCCCTGTAATATTCTGGTGTGCAGGTTATCTTACTGTGCTCCTCTTGGTGATGTTAGAGCGCTCCCCTGTAGCTGCCGTGTGTCTAAGAACTGCCACATGATCTGTTTTACAAGGAGGAATTCAGGTCTGTGGCAGCATTTAAGTAAATTTTAATATGAATAAAAGTGTTACATATATACATAAAATACACATAAAAGTCAGTGGTGTGAGCCTGCAAGTGTAACTGGCAATGGGATCGCAGTTGCAGAAGTCCCAGTGGAGGAGTAGAGTCGTTGTGTGGATGTGAACCATACAAACTCCCTCCTCTTGGTGATGTTAGAGCGCTCCCCTGTAGCTGCCGTGTGTCTAAGAACTGCCACATGATCTGTTTTACAAGGAGGAATTCAGGTCTGTGGCAGCATTTAAGTAAATTTTAATATGAATAAAAGTGTTACATATATACATAAAATACACATAAAAGTCAGTGGTGTGAGCCTGCAAGTGTAACTGGCAATGGGATCGCAGTTGCAGAAGTCCCAGTGGAGGAGTAGAGTCGTTGTGTGGATGTGAACCATCCCCACTCCCCACCCTCCAATGTGGTACCTACCTCTGGGCACGGAGAAGCCAAAAACCCACGGTGGGTAGATTAGCAGAAGCAAACTGGAGGTCTGAGGGGCTCATGGTAAAGGCAGATCATACGCTTACCCAGATTTATCAGCCACTCCCATCTCAATACACTCGCCTACCCAGTATTTGCAGCAGCTGAGTTGTCCAAAGGAAGCTTCTTTAAACACAAGATCAAAAAATAACAGCTCTTCAAAAAATAACACCCCAGTGTGTGGGTGTTTATTTTTGTCAAAATTAGGTTGACAGTTGGACAAGATGATCTTTAAGGTCCCTTCCAACCTAGAAGATTCCCTCCCCACCCTCCAATGTGGTACCTACCTCTGGACACGGAGATGCCTTAGAAGCCAAAAACCCACGGTGGGTAGATTAGCAGAAGCAAACTGGAGGTCTTAGGGGGCTCATGGTAAAGGCAGATCATACGCTCACCCAGATTTATCAGCCACTCCCATCTCAATACACTCGCCTACCCAGTATTTGCAGCAGCTGAGTTGTCCAAAGGAAGCTTCTTTAAACACAAGATCAAAAAATAACAGCTCTTCAAAAAATAACACCCCAGTGTGTGGGTGTTTATTTTTGTCAAAATTAGGTTGACAGTTGGACAAGATGATCTTTAAGGTCCCTTCCAACCTAGAAGATTCTGTGATTCTGATTTCACTAATTCTCTCTCTCTTTCTCTCTCTCCCCGCTCTGACTTCAGATAACGTTGAATTCTGCAAAAATCAAACTACCTAACTTGCCTCAAGGATCTTCCTCTTCTGCAGGGTCCAGGCAAAAAATCTACGAGCTCTGTGTGTGTCCCAATGGGAGGTTATTTCTGTCTCAGGCAGGCACTGGCTCGACCTGCCAGATAAATACAAGCGTCTGCCTTTGAGAGACAATTTGAGTGGGGCATCGCAGGCAGCACAAAAGCCAGTTCTGGTCTCACAGATTGCAGCTGCCAACTATTTTTACTAGAACACAGAAAGCCTATCAAAGACTTTTTTTGTGTGTGCGCGCGCGTGTGTGTGAATATATATATATAAAAATATATATATAAAATATATATATATCCTCTGTGTTAAAATGATGTTTCAGTACAAGGAATCCCAGGGTGACCCTGTTACATTTGTGTAGCATTTCTCTTTCCCATACCAAAATTTACTGGTACAATCTGCTGAATTGGACTTGATGCTCCCCTGGACCCTTCTGTATTAATATAGTCTAATGATCACCCCTCGTTTTTTGATCATGTTCTCAGAGCAATGGGATTGCTGGCTGGGCAAGACCCTGGAACCGATGTAGACCCACCAACATACAAAGGGAAGAGAAGCATCTCTGATTATTTTTGCACCATTAAATCAGTGACGTGGAAAAAAACTAACAAAAATACCAACAAAATAGGCAGATGTGCTGTACCATCACCTAGAGTGATCCAAGATACTGGAGGTTAAATTACACTCTTTAATTTTCACCTGATGCATAGCTTCCTTTTGGGAGAGATGGATTGCATTTGGCCAGTAGAAAAGTCCAGACCTTCTTGCTGGGATAATGATGTATTTTTCTGAAGGGGTTTTAGACTTCCCATTCAGATGTGACGCATCAGCTCTAACCCTAACCTAAAGACATCTCTGTGCTAACAGAACTGGGGTTGCATTTAGTTCTTGGAAGGAAAAAAATTGTGAAAGTTGGACAAAACTGAAAAAGCCTGAACCTCCTTATTTAACAGGTGTCCTGGATCACCCTACACACTCTCCATTAGCATCTTTAATTTTGAAAATATTTGGTGTGAAGGTGCGAAGATTTAAGATTTGGACATTGACTATAAATACCTATAGAAACAGAGAAAATTACCTGTTCTACCTGTAGAAACAGAGAAAGTCACACAAATTTGGTGTGTCATGAAACTGCTATGTCAGAATTTTTGTCATCTTTCCTTTCAGGATATGCAGTCCAAGGTCACTTAGATTTGGTGGAGACTGCAAATATCAGAGATGCTGCCAATGAAACAGATGTTTTCAAGGATTTATAAGGATTGTGACAAAGCCAGATTACTGGAAAGCAACGGCTTTGGATGCTGGTTCCTCTAGAATTTGAGACCCAAAAATTCTGTGGTTGAATCTCTTCATGGTGGCATTTTTCCTTATTTTATAGTCTAGGAGTCACTTATGGGCAAGATAAAATGGGAAATCTGATCTGGTAACATTACTTCCACAGTTCAAGTTTTAAAAAATAATGAGAAGAGCCCAGATCATTCAATTCTGACCCATAATTGCATCCACATGCATGCAAAAATCCTTGAAAAACAAATGTACTAATTACTGCAAAAGTGTCCAAGTCGCAGTAAGTCTCACGAGGACAGCAAGGTTTCTAAGCCACTGAGATGCTTTTGAAAATATTACCTCATGTGCAAATATGAGAGATCTGTGGCCATCCCTAGTGATAACTAAGCAAAGCTGGTATTCTTCAAGTGATCATCAAGATCAAATGAAGCTGACAGAAATATTTTGAACTAATTTAGCCCATTCTTTTTTCACAGATTTCCACATATTTTCTTGTGGTCTGGAGAGTACCAGGGTTTGATTTTATTATTTTTTTTAATGAACAATTCTGGCTTAATCCAAAACTGGCTGGACTCAAAGGAAAGATTTCTATGGAGTTTAGATTAGATGTGTTGCTGCCTAACAAAGCAGCAGTCCCATAAAATTTATTTCTGAAAGAGGATTGGATGATCTACCTTTATTTCAGTTATGCCTTCTGATTAATTAACGAATTCAAACTATTTGTTAATGAATGATTCCTGTAATTATAATGTCTTGAGCCAACGTTTGAATGCAAAGGGTCACCCAGGATAACAATTGTATTGGGACACAGGACTATACCATCTCTGTTCAAAGAGGGGAATTGTGCCTATGCCTTAAGTCAATGCACTCAGCAAGGAGAAGCACATCATATTTATCTTGTTATTAAAACTAGTTTATTTGGGGGGAGGGACAGGAGGGTGTCTTGGGAACTGGTTGTGCAACTTAAAACAGATATTAATGAAATGCATAAAGACTGTAGGGGCACCTAGAGTGATACAGACTTTTTTTTTTTTTACCATGTTAAATATAGCAAAATACTGTGTACGTTACCTCTGGGACCACAACCAAAGTCCCATTCATAGTCCTACATTTACTGTGGAGTTTTTTTTCCCTGTTTCATTTAATACTGATCACAAACCTTATAGCAAGCACGGCCCAATGCATAAACAAATCCCGTGTGAGCAGTTGTGAAGACACGTGCAGCAGGACGAGTACCCTGTACAGAAAGTGAGTGGCATTAACTTCCCTACCCCTGAGAGTATTCACACTGGTGAGAAAGGCAAGGACTGCCCCCAATTTCCATCTTCCGCTCCCGAGAGGCTCAGTCCTCATCCCCACGCACCCTCTGGATGCTCTGCTGAGGACTTCCACCCCAACAAATTAATTCTGAGTGGCTGGTTTTCTCAGCTGGGCTTTTGTATGAGGTTATCGCCTTCTTGTGCTCTAAGTGACATCAGCCATTTATTTTGGTATGAATTTCTGTGGGGGAACTGTTAGGGAACCACCTTACACATTTGTGCCATCACTGCAGACGCTTCTCTGAAGTGAACAAAGGGTACCTTAATTAAGTCTAGGCAAAGGAATTCGAGTTGCTTCAATATATTTTACAATCATGTTTCCATATTAAAAAGCGTAAAATTTTATGTGGTGTGGAAAGACAAGGAATTGCTGCTAGAAAGACTGAATCCATATCAAACGACTTGTAAATCATTTGAGCCCCACTTGAGTTTTAAGACAACAGTTTAGGTGATGCTGCCTGCACTTGTGTTGGCCATATGATTAGTCCCCTGCTGTTCAGTGAGTGGTAAACCAGAGAAAACAGGACAAGATCCTGGGGGAAAAATCAGGCATTTTGGTTAAAAAGCAGCATACAAACATATCCAGCTATCTTGCACTTCCCAGTTTGTTATTGGGGTTGTGGAGTGAGGGATTCACCCGTTGGACCAGGCAAATACGTGAGAGTCCCTTTTCCTCCTGCCTTGCCTGGAAATCTCTCACAGCTGCTGTATCTGTAGGGGTTGGGTTTCCCTGAGTCCATTCAAATTGGAGCCTCCTTGGCTGGAATTTCATCCATATGCTCTACTTGCCATGGATAAAATGCCAAAAAATGAACAAGGGTTGGTGTATTTTTTTGTGAATCGGGCCTGGAGTGCAGTTCAATTGAGCATTTGCTCTTTGGGGAGATGGTGTTTATCTCAAACCGGAGTTCAGTTTTACCTCCCGACGCCAAGGCAAGGCTGGGCTGGATTTGTTTCTACTGAGCTCAGTGGAAAAGATGCTGGTGGCTTCACGTCCTGAGCTGGAAGGGGAGCTGGATCGGTGACAATTTAGGGCACTGAGGGCAGTGGATGCCCTGCCAGCCCCTGACCCTTCACTGTGTGCAGGGCTGCATTGCAGCTGGGAGCACTGAAACCCCGGGGAAATGCTGATCAGGGGGCTGTGATACTATGTCAGTGTACCCAAGGCCACCATGAATACTGCAGTATTCATAAATGCAGTTATGTATTGCAACTCTTAACTTCATAGGGCTCCGAGACCTTGTTAAATTTGCTTTAAATACAACGCTTTAGTGAGCAGTCAGGAAAATGACTGTCAGTTCTTACCTGTACCTTATCCATATGTACTGTATGACCCTTCTGCTGGCACAGGTGAGTCAGGATGGTTTTTCTAAAGCAAAAAAGAAGTTGCCATTAGTAAAGCAGAGATCCTAATACTGACTATACAACTGTATCTATTTTCCAAGTTTCTTTGTGGGTTTTTTTTTTGTTGGTTGTTTTTTTTAAATACACTTTTTGAAGTATATTACCCAGTAGTCAGTGAAATGGGTAGCTTAAGAGTACAAAGAAATGTTAACACTAAAGGAAGTCATCAAAAGGGGAAGCCAGTAACTACTAAAATATGTATAAGGCCTCTCCTAGGTATACATTTTTAGAAAACTAAGTATGTGCAGAAGTGATTTGTATTTGGTTATCTCAGTCATGTGCTGTCAAACAGCTGTATTTTAAGAGGATCTTTTTTTTCCTCCTTTAATCATAAACATCACATTGCACAAAAAAGTTTAAGGCATAAGCCTAAAAAAAAAAAATCTGCGATATACAGTATAGCAAAATGATGTATAAATGAAAAAAAAAAACCCTCCCTGGAATTTATTCCATGGTTGAAAAGAGGTTCCTGTGGAATTTGTGAAGATGTCAGGTTAGTTCACACCATACCTAGTTTGCAAATACAGATGTACTTAAAGGAAATTAGCTTTTGTTGTCCTAAGATGTGCACACACACAAATATATATATACACACACACACAAAGTCACATATACTTGTCTACAACAAAAGCCAATTTTCTTTCTATCTGTTGTTATGGCTTTAAGTTTCACATTGCAAAAGAGAGTGAGACAAAGACCAAAGACTTACAAAAATTCATTCCTTCCCTGGTTGCCCTCACACCTGAAATGCATTACCTTTAATGGTGCTTTTTGAAACTGTCAGGAGAAGTACAAGTTTATCGGAAGCTGCATTTGAGAGAGTAAAGTGGCAGGAAGACCACTTTTTGTTAATGGGGAGAAAAGGAAATAATGTGAAACACTTTTAGATGTGTGCAGAGGACAATGTTGCCTAAGTTTGAAATGTGAAGAAATAACCCAGAACGATAAGACATCATCCTGGGCTGAAAGTATAAATAAACTGAGTAAATGCTACTGGCTGTTCACCTACCTGCACTCGAGCGTTAGCAGATCAGGAACTCCAGGAGCTGCTCCATGAAGAAGAGTAACTGTGCCGTAATGATTTCATTTTAAAAGTGCATACAGTAAAAACAAAAAAAAAAGTTAGCGGCTGTGCTCTTTTTTCTATTTTTTTTATGGCTGACATTTTAAATTTTGAAATGTCATCATCCAGCATTCACCCCAGCAAGCGCAGGGCGAGCTCCTGCGAAGCCTTGCCAAGCACTGGATTGGTGCTTTTTGAATGTGAAAATACCAGCCATTTTATGGCCATTGCTGTTGAGGAACGCAATCCTGGCAACGTTTCCGTTTTCCCCATCTTAACCTTTTTCCTCAGTTCTGAAATCGGTCTGTAATATTTAGGTAGCTGGTGTCCTGCGACACACGGGGCTGGCTGTGTGCAGGTGGGCAGCAGCCCCCAAATCCCCACCGTGTCTCTTCTGGGTCTTGCATACCCCCAAAAATCCAAACCTGCATGTAGCAGTGGCACTAAGGTGAAACTGGGGACTTTCGGGTAAATTCTGCACAGCAATTGCTGTGTTTTCACAGCTGGTGTGATTGAGTCTACAGCTGTGAGCAGAGCAGGGTTAAAGACGGACGTGGCACTGATGAGATTATTCAAGCAAGAGTGGAGTGAATTAAACAAGGCAGGTAGGAGGGAGAGGGAAGAAATGGCAAGAGACATCACTCTAATCACAGTAATGCAGCAAACTTCTTTCTCTGTTTACACTATTATACTTTGAATTAATAACCTCCATTTTACTAAATATGGTAGCAATTATGCTTGATCTTTCACGGTGCACAGTGGAATTACTGTCACTGAAACCACTTACAGCTTGGACTGTTCAAGACTGCTAGAGTGTTGTTTCCGTCCACAATAACCACAGTGGCTTGGGGCTTGGATGGAAATTATAGTGAATAGCTTCTATTTAGAAAGCTTTTAAGTCTGCTGTGGTTGAGAAGCCCATGGTTATGCATATACAGCCCCGAGGCTTTATCATTTCAGATCCTCTTGTCCTGCCACTTGTATTGTGCCCTCGTGAAAAGCGACACACTTTCTTAATACTGGAGAAGATGGATATTTAAAGCTGCAGGATTTTTATCTGAAGTGAAGAAGATAATATACTCATAGCGCAGCACCGAGATTTCCCATCCAAGTCACTTTAAACTAGACGTGTGAGTCCCTTAAAAATTAATTTGCTACAAGTGTAATTCCTGCGGGAAAGTTAGCGTTGGTGTCACTCCCAGGAAATGTCTCACCTTATTACAGCGCGAAGCCACGCGGTTGCTGGGATTTTCTGCCCCCGGTTGGTAGCGACAGGCTGCCTCTTCAGAGGAAGCCAGATTTCCTTTGAAGCAACTCGTCTCCATGGATGGAGTTTTCGTTAGTTTTTAACCTTTATTAAAAGATAGGAAGGCTATGTCCACTGTGAAGCAATACGTAATTGTATGTTTGTCTCGCATTTAGTTGGTTTATTCTTTCTGCCAGCAAGAGAAAATATCAGAAAGAGAAATTCGTGCACAAGTTCTCCATTTACATTGTGCTCTGCTACCAAATGCTTTAGATAAAAACATGCAGCCTTAGCTAAACACTCTTTTCTTCTAAGATTAAAAAGGACTCTCTGGAGCCTTTCATCAGGTCCTGCCCAAATGGAAAGTCTCACCATTTCTAACTTATTTGCCATTATAGGAATAGGCCTATTGCAAAGCACAGGTCATGTGCAGCTTTGCATGGAACAGAATTTAAAATTGCATTGTACCATTCAAAAAGCTTAACCACCGATAGGAGATAAAGCGTTCCGAAGCCTGCTACTGCTAAATGCATTATCACTTTCTAAAGCAATGCAGTTTCTTTGGTCTTTTAAAAATTTCCTCATAACAGAGTCCTTGAAACATCTTGAGGCAGGCTTACGTTGGAGAGCAAAAGAATAATTATTTGTGGGTGGTTCTATTTTTATCGAAGGCTGGATCGTAGATGAAAAAAATATTGCTGTTAGAGTTTCTCCCACACTTAGCTGCAAACACCCCCACCCCCCACCACTACAACTAGATTTCTCTGGGGTAGCTGCCTGTAGAGCAGGGACTGAGCTCCTTTGCTAAGCCAGAGCCTGATAACTTTGTCTTCATCTGGGTTCTCCTCTGGGCTTGTGCACTCGGTGTTGGTGCTGTTATTGATGCAGTGGATAATGAAACACGTCCACAGTATTAATGACTTTACTGATGATATGTATCTGCAGTCTAAGTGGTATAAATAACGCTGGTAGTTGCTGGTTGCTGTTCTAACAAGCCTTAGACCAGCTTGAAGGCACCAGCAGTAACTCCAGAAGGTGCAGCTGAGCACCTGCAGGAAGCCTGTGGGGTGGGGGGACCTGAGGGTAGCTTTGCCCTCTCTCGTTTATCTCCATCCCATTGCCAGGTCCTCTTTACTAGAGACAGCAGCAAGGCATGGTGCCTGGCTTGGGAGGCTGGGCTGGAGCAGTGCATCAGCACCATTCACAGCACGGGGATTTGACTCTGGAGCTGGTGTAAATCAGGATTTGGCTCCGTTTAACTCCCTGGTAGCCTACACTGCCTGAGGGTTTGGCCCTCAAGGTTTGTCACCTTCTGTGAAATCAAAAGGAAGAGTTGGGCTGCTCTGTCTAAACCACAGCCTGGATGTTCCTGGGGACAGCCATGGGACACAGACTCCTTGAGCTTCTGGTATTTCCCTGTCACGTGGGCGCAGATAAAAAGCTCAAGATGCTGCCTGCAAATGGAGGCATGTTCATCCAGCTTGGCTCCTCAGCACCACAACAAACCATGCTGGAGTTCAGTTGGTGGTTTCATGGGTTACACATGAAGCAGGAGGTCCCACTGGTAGTAGGACAGGGGTAGGGAGGACTTTCTTGTCCCCTTCTGTGGGTTATCAGAGCGAACACAGAAGTTAGGATGAACACGATCCTGCCCTCGGTCAGCAGAGTAAGAGCACAGCAGAAACCTCAGAAAGAGCAGATTTGAAAAATGATATGTTTGTTGAAGAATGGTTCAGTTGACAGCATTCACACCTGGATTTCTCCCTAGGTCAGGGCTTTTCCTGAGCTGCGATCCAGATCTCAGTCTGGATCTGCCCTATGCAGCAGTTAGGGAATGTGGAAGGGATTGACCTGCTGGATCTGACTCAGATCCCTTTGGGTTTTCGTTTTGGGTATTTTTGCCCACCCCTTATTTCAATTAGTTTCCGTGTGCACGAATGCCAATAGACTTGTCGATATTAACGCAACAAATGCTCCACGTAGGTCGAGCCAACAGCAAAACAACATCGTGCGAGTTGAAGCAAAAGCCCGTTCATCTACAGCAGTAGCGTAAAAGGCATGACCCATGTGCTATAGCAGTTTTCATCTGTGATGGTAAAATACCTTGTCTGACCTCTACTCTGATAACCACCAATGACCTTGATCGTGTAAACAGGACAAAATGAATTTAAAGTCTTACCACAGTTCTCATTAAGAAATTCAGATTTCTTTGGCTTTTTTCTTTTTAATTTATGTATGTGTGTGGTTGTGTGGGAAAATATAAAGCTTTTTTGTATCAAATAACATCAATCCTTGCACACTCTATGCAAAATTTTGTAAGCATTGCAATAATGCTATGAATTACACAAGGAACTATTTTAACTTTATTACACTTTCTGTATAAAAAAAATATTTGTATTTAAATGATTTCAACTGCAATCTTGTAAAATATATTAATAAAATAATGATTGTTAAGAAGGAAAGAGATGTTGAAGGGTTTTTTTTGTTTGAACATGGCAAATATGAGTTAGACCTCAAACTTCCATACGTCTGTGGGATAGGGATAGGATATATCTGCATGTCTGTAGGATACACCAGACTGGGTCCCATTAGTGAGCCATTTCACAGCATCATGTCCCTAAATATGTTCATGCCAAAGATGCTGTAGAGGATGAAATGAGAAGCTCTGTGGCTGGCTGTTGGAAGAAAACCTGTTGTCAGCAAAACAAAAAAGATGTTCCCTTTGGGGAAAGTTGAGCTACCGTCTTGCTTACAGCTTTGTTGAACTTCTCACCCTTGTCCTAGCGTTAGTGTCTCACAGCCAAGAAGTGTCACAGGCACTGAGGTCCCTCTCAGAGATGATCGCTTGCTGGTAGAGGGGATCTGGTGCTGCTTGTGCTCCAAACCAGCGGGACCTTGCCATTTCCCAGGGGGACCAGCTGGGGTTCATGCCTCCAGGAACCAACCCCTACCTGCACACAGCATGGGGAGCATGAAATCAAGTCTGCCTGCAAAGAAACAATGATTTTTTTAAAAAGAAAAAATATATATATAGCAGCATGGACCAACTCACAGAAAGCCTCTTGAAAACCTCTGGCTGCTTTAACGATCCATCAGTTTTATTTTAATTGGCTAACTAATCAGATGCTCCTGGGTGAATCTGCACATGCCAGGCAATCACTTGTGAGGGCATTTTGCAGGAGCTGGGTTTTAAATATGAATTTGTTCGCCCTGGATTTTGTCAGTAAATGAGAGCATTGATTGAGGCTCATTATCTGAACGATAGCAAGAATTCAATCCGGCTGAAAAGACGTGTGTGCCTTCCAAGTGCACAGCGAGTACGAGCCCCGTCCTCGTAGATGAGACCCTGCCAAAATCCAGGCTGTAGGCAGACTTGTTTACCAGTTTGTAGGGGCTACTGTTTACCAGGCTCCAAATAAGTTCAGTCAGTGCCGTTCAGTGGGCACGCACAGCCTTTCTCTCGCCCGCTGCATTTTGGGCAGTTTTTACCAGGCTCCAAATAAGTTCAGTCAGTGCTGTTCAGTGGGCACGCACAGGCTTTCTCTCGCCTGCTGCGTTTTGGGCAGTTTGATTTTTTTATTTTTTTATTTTTTTATTTTTTTTAAAAAAAAGACATCTTTCAGCTGAACTTCAGCTGCAGTTCTTGGCCCGAATTTGGAATTTCTAGCAAACTGACAATGAAATAATTCATTAATTAACCCCCATTAAGAAGCGTGTTGGCAGGAACGGCACCCGCAGGAGACGCAGCTCCATGGGCAGCGCCCAGCGCTGACACGGCAGCTGGAGCCTTCCCAGTCCCAGCAAATTCCTCATCAGCTGCCTGGAAAAGTCTTGCAGTTTAAGCAGTGAGTAGTTATGAAATTCAGCCTCAAGAGCAGCATATTTGCAGCGCCCCCATGTCAGAAATGCAACGTGCTGTACTCAGTAGCAACAATACGTTAACCATTTTTAAAAGCCTGGGAAGATGTAGTTAAAAACAGGCTTTGTCTTTCAAAATTGACTCCTGGGAAAAATTATCAAAATATAAGTTCTTCCCAGGTTTCTTGCCTTTCACTTTTTAAGGATTACTTCCCAACTTTTGCTTTCTTTCCTTTTCACCCCTATAGGTAATTCATTGCTCCGTTATTTTTTTCTCCTAAATAGCAAATAGAAAAGATAAACCAAACAAATAAAAGATTACAAAAGCAGAAAAGAATCACTGAGATTAAATGAGTCCATTTCATACTCTTTAAAATGATAACAGCTTCAACATTTTAAAATTTTATCTGCAGCCAGGTTTTTGTATTTTTCTTCATAGTAGAGACAAGTTGCTGCTGCTGAAGTTCAGTTGTTAAATCAGGGTGGTTATTTTTATTTTTATGAACAGTGTCCAGAAATCAGTGACAAGAAGTATCTGTTTTTAACAGTTTTTCTCCAATGCTGTGACCTTGATTCCTCTCTCCTTAAACTGAACAGAAAAATCATCCTGAATTTAGTGATGAAGGTTCAGACCTAAATAGCTCCAGTGCCAAATGTATCCCAGAGGAAAATTATATGGCCTCATTTAATAGAGAAAAAGCAAGAAGTCTGGCCAGCAGCTAGAACTTGACTCTTTACTGCAGTCATTTCAGAATAAAAAGCAGAGTGTCAGAGTGTGGGTAGCCTTTAAATATTTGATTCACGCTATTGGGCTATTGTAATATACATTACTGATATGAGCTGCACTTTTTAAAATTGGGGTTTGTGAATAACCCTTCACATAACAGCTCTGCTTCAGGCCATCACACAGCTAAGCTTGTGTAACATCAGCTGTGGTATTTTCCCTTTCACACCTACAGGGACATTTTTTTTACCCTACTTCTTAGGCTTTGCTTTCAGTCTCACAAGCTGCACGGCAATGCAGGCAGAGAAACAAGCCCTCTGCCTCCTCGCTGAGGAATGCACGGGACCATCTGCTTTGCTCCATTCAGTGGGTGCATGTAGGGAAAGGAAAAGCACAAAACACCTTTTAAATCTCTGACATAACTTCATTTGGCTTGGTTTTCTGCTCCCCTGGCTGCAGTACACAGCTGCAGGGCAGAGCTGGGGGCAGCCAGGACTCCTGCTGGGGCTGGAACCCTCCTGGGGCTCCTGGTCCCACCTCTCCTTCTTCAACAGCCCTATTCCCCTGCCACTGCCTGACTCAGACTACAAAAATACTTCAAACAACAGCATAATGCACAAGTAGGGGTGTTCTATCTGCATTACCTGGCATGAATGCTACTTACAATTGAGTTTAGCAGCTGAGAGCTCCAAGCCAGCTGAAGGATGCTGAAGATGACTGAGATGGGATTTTACTCATTGAATGTGGGTCTTACATCTGCTTTGCCAGACTGGGGAGATCTAACACCAAAAAAAAAGAGACAAGAAACAGTACATGCACATGCCAAAAAGGGGTGCTGTGTCTCTGCATGGCTGCCAGGCTTAGCCTGGGCCTCCTTCCTTCATCCAACCAACAACTTGTCCCATCTCATGCCCAGAGGGATGATGATTTGATGGAGGCTGCTGCAGTTGGGGTTGCTGCACCATGTCCTGATGGATGCAATACGCTGTGTCCCCAGTGCATTCAGGACCAGGGCAGGGTGATGGGGAAATGCCCAGGACTGAAATAAGCACTGTTTGAGCTGATGTTGGTCCCAAACAGAGCCACATTTACCTTAATACCCCCGCAAACACAACCTGTCTTTGCAAAGCATTTCTGCAAAGCAGCTGACCACCAAATCCAGGGTGATGAAAAACTTCTCATGGCTTTCCAGCATCAGCAGGCTTAGGAATGATAACTGAGTGATTGGGGAGCGCGTGAGAGAGAGAGAGTGTAGTGTGTGTGTGCGTGGGGGTTGGATACATTTCTGAATAATGTGATATTTTTGAGGCAGTTGTAGCAACTCTCAAAAGCATTTGGGTATTTCAATAAACCCCGATCTCCAAAGAGAGTTTTTGCAACACAGTCATCTTGAACCATAATAACTAAATTTGAAAATAGCTATCATCTGCTATAAAGACATTAAAATATCTGTAGTGGAACCATCAGGCTGTAAATGCTATGGGAGCTCTGCACACACACACACACGATTAACAAAGAAAAAAAGAAAGGAGAAACACACTGCCACTTCCAAGAAAACCCACAACCCACCACCTACACGATGAACTTTTAAGCACAGAATGCAACATCCAATGAATTATTTATGAATTAATTTGCAAGGAACAGTTTAGCAGTCAAAGGAAACGTAAACTGGCAGCGCAGCCCTGCCTGGGGTGACGGCAGGGGACACGAGCGCGCTGCTGCTGTGGCAAGGAGACATTTAGCAGTACACGTGATGAGTTGCACACTAAGAAAGTTTTAAGACAAAAATCCAATTCCTGGCCAACACCAGCCTGCTGCACTAACACCCCGACATACCCTGTGACCCCGTTTGCACACTGCAGTGGCACTTGCCATCCCTCATCCAGTGCCAGGTGACAGACACGAGTGCTTTTTGCTCTCCAGATATCTGCGGTGGCTGTAACCCCTCTGGCAGGAGGAGTCACCCACCACCTCCTACCTTCCCCCACCACGCTGTTTTATGCTCAGCTAAAACACAGGTGCAGCGAGCTGCTGCTTAAAGGCTAATGATGGGAACAAAGACATCAGAAGATGTAAAGGCCACATCCTGTTTTTAAATTAATTCTTTATAGCCAGGCTATAAAAGGGGCTCTCCCTGCCCAGCGCTGGTACGGGCTCTGCAGTGAGGGCTCCACAGCAGCAATAGCCTTTAGCATGACATTAAATTAATGCTTTAGTGGGCTTTGGGTTTTTTTTTTTCCTCCTCAGCTGGGAGCCCTGGTCTGACTGTGCTGCTGCAGCCGAGCCCCAGTCCTGATGCTGGCTGTGCTGCGTGCTCTCGGGATCACCGGCTGCTGCGCGCCTCATTTCTCTAACACAAACATGGATCATGGGCATAAACAAACCTGGCTCGGTTCCTGGCAGAACTGAGAATTGCATTCAGCAGCTCCTGGGGCAGGGATGGTGTGGGAGCAAGCAGGAGAACACAGGCAGGAGAAGCTTGAGAGAAACCAAAAGGAGAGCGGGCAGGGCTCTGGGCTGTTCTGGGATTGCTGCACCTACTGCGGCATCACGGCACACGCGGCGCTGGGGTACATTGAGGTCTGCAAATAGAGCAGCAGGACACTCCCTGACACAGGTCCTGGCTTCCCTAGCTCAATCCTAGCAAATACAATGAAGTCTATAACTGCTTTTGGATCTTATTTATTTCTGGAGCAACCCCAGAGTCCTGCTTGGCTCCACTGGGGTGGCTGAGATTGCTGCCCCCCCCCTTAAAGCAGGGTACTGCTGAGCATGGTTTAGCTCACCTCCCACAATGACTTTGATAATGGTGACTCTTTTAAGATATATGCATCTCAGCTACTCTTAACCCTGTCTGTGTCTCTGT